AAGAGGACAAAACTGTGCCACCCTTATGGGATGTGGGAAAGGGAGGCAAATTTATCTCCTTTTGAACCATGTGGATAAAGCTGTGTCATACCTGTGCATTTGATAGTTTACTTGATATTTCCACTTGGATTTCTCAGAGGCATGGCAAAATTACAGTGTCTGAATTTTATTATTTCCTCTTCCATCGTCTCACTCTATAATTTGGTTCCTGCTCAGCAAATGTCATCTCTGTCCACCTAATTGCTAGAATGCCTATGTTTCTCTTGTCCTCGTGTCTAATTCATTCACAAGTCATGTTTCTATTTCTAATTAATTCTTTCCATTCTGTACCTACCTAGTATCTTCCTTTATATGGGCAAGTCGCAGTTATCACTAACATCTACATAGAAGTCAGAATGATCTTTGAAAACATATTTTGTTATTTATTTGATTAAAATTTCACAAATGGCTTCCAAATGTACTTAGAATAAAATTCAAGCTCCTCACTAACTGTGGCTATCATTTCTTCATTTTATATACTTTGCTGCTTCCTAACTGTGCTCTACACATATTGGTCTTCTTTAGAATTTTCCGTATACTCTTTTTCCACTTGGAAGATTGCCCCACGACCCTGCTTTCTGTTGGTCACTGTTCATCTTTCAGATATCACTTAAATATCACCTATTTTCAGAACCCTTCCTCTATTACAGTTTGATAATTTATGTGTCTTGATTCTGTCTATCTCTCTATTCTAGGAATTTGGGGCCTACACGTTTTTGTTTAATACTCTATCACAGTGTTTCTACATCGTCTATCACAGTGACTCAACATTGGAGATTCATCATTGATTGCGTTGAATGAAAAAATAAATGACAAAAATGAAAAAAAAAGATACACACATATAATGAAAGGATCACCAAGGGGTCCAAAAGCCAGTATTTTTTTTTCCTCACAATGTTGCTTTAGTTTAACCACAGCTGGAAATTCAATCATTAGTGAAAATATTACTGTACACCTACCTTGTACAAAGCTGTGAAGAATGCCAAGGTCAATAAAGTTTGGTCCCGTCCCTAAAAGAGTTTATAATATTGTTTCTATATGGAAGTTTATGTGTGGGAAAGAATACAAAAAAAATTTAGATAATACATAATATCAGAACTGCCCCCGTACAACATATAATTGCCAAAATGTGTGACTTGAATGATCAGTATTTTCTGAAATCAGAGAAGGGGAAATCCCTTTGAGGTAGTAGGAAACTTTCCTGGAGAAGAAAGGGAAAAGGAATCAGTTTGATGGTTTATTTTTTTCTTTGCTGGTATATATTCTACTGAAAGTAACAGGAATCCTAAAGAATTTGATTTACTTATTTTCATGGATGGACCTCAAAGGGATTCCCTAGCTGGCATCTAGAAACTGCCAGCATCTAACGACTACTGATCTTTCTTAAAGACTTAATGTGCATGCAGTTCTCAGCCAGAGGAAAGATGCAAGCTCAGGCTTGCCAAAAACAGTAACTGGGTAGGTACCAGACCTCTTAGTCAGAGCCACCCACATTGTTCCCAAATTTTTAATGCTGGAGTTCAAATCAAGGACTACAATTAGGTTCTAGTTTTATGGTGAATACCTGATTTTATCAGCACTATAGCCACTATCTTTTTTAAAGGGAAATAATAACTAGTAAAATCATCCTCCCCCTCAAAAGTAGACAACTGTATTCAAGTATGTAACTAAGGGTTTTCTGTGACAATCAATGTAGTTAACACAAGATCTAAAGCCAGATTCCCTGGGTTCACATATCAGAACTACCACTTCCTGTACCACCTTAAACAAGTTTAAGCCTACTGAGCCTCAATTTCTTCATCTAAAAATAGGGCTGACGAGAATAGCACTTTCCTCCCAAGATAATGTGATGTTTAAAGAAAGGAATCAGTTTAATCCCTGCCATGGAGCATTGACTTAATACATACGAATTAGTCGTCACACACCATTGTAATTTACTAGGTTCTACACGTTTTTAAATATAAATCAACGCCTTAGGAGACCAGTGTTTGATCATATCAGGGTTTGAACAGATTCTTGGAATTTTTTTATACTCTGATATGATAGATTCCTCATCCTTTCCCAAAGTGTCATATTTAAACAGTTCAAAATTTCAGAGGACACTTATCTAAATGAAGTTCTCGAAATTAAAATTGATGTTTCTTCCCATTCTTTGAAATATAGAAATGATTGAGCTCAGAGAAGTTCAATGAAAGCCTAACTAGCATGATTCAGAACTACTGCAACCCTTGGGATGACCATCCTTGTGGACTTATCCCTGGGGACTCTTAGCTCCCACACTGTTTTGGGGAGTTACACTTGGAAACTTTACCGTGTTGTTGATTCTTAATTAAACTCATTTATTCATTCATTCATTTACTTATCAGCCATGCCAGAAGTGTTTATACTAGGCCTGACAATGTGTGGAGCACTGGAAATATAAAGATGAATCAGATACACTCCGACTTCACACAGCTCATAATCTATACCAGGAGAAAGATTATATATACCAGTGCAAAAATTGCTATAATAGAATCATGTGCAAGATTGCTGGGGTGGCCTTAATAAAGGAGACAAAGTAGAAGCTAACTTAGTTGTCATTGGAGTTCTCAAGGAGACCAAAGTTTAATTGAAAAAATTCACTTAGGGGCAAAAAAGTGTGTTATTGGAAGAGGTAATTGAATGTGCAAAATCATTCAGGTGCCAACCAACCTAGTGTATTAGAAGAGAGCAATTGATTGGTAGCCGCGCCTTCCCCACCTCATGCACATCCTGGGATTCTGTGACAGCCAGAATAGGACCAGCTCCCTGGCTGAGGCAGGGACAGGGTGAGGGAGGGATGGGGGCCTGGGTGGTGAGTGCCACTCATCTGTCCCCTCCCCCACCCTAGCAATGTGTGCACTGGGAACTTTTGCCAGCAGGGCCAGGTTGTCTCCCCACCTCTGCCTCTTGCTCTTACTCTCTTCAGATGGGCACCCAGCCATTAAGGCCTCTTTGCACATCCACTTGTGGATCCCTGGAGTCACCCCAGACAGAATCTGACTGGCCTATGGGTCAGTCCCCTGCCAAGGCAGTTGTCTATAGGATCCTCAAAGGAGCTCTTCCCAGGACTTGCGGCCGGAGGCTGCTGAGCTAGCTGCATTCACAGGCTTTGTGTTCTTAGCATAGTCCATGATGTTTGTTATTAGCACTGTCAGTGGACATCTGGGCAAAATTGAGGGAAATGCTGTGAAGCTTACTGTTTTGGTTGTGAATGCTGTTGGGATTTCATCTGAAACCAAATTAGCTTTGGCTTGTGACACACTAATGTGTCAATCCTTTGGAGACAAGAACGTGAAATGCATGAGGATAATTCTTCAAAGAGGAACCCTCATCTTGATGTCGTGTGGTCTACCTTACTGGGCTGTCCTCTTCAATATGGAGGATATTCTCTAGCTCTTAAAACCCTGAAGTCTTTAGGATGGTCTAAATTTATATAATTTTATTCCTGCTCTTCCAGCAGCATTCCTGTTCCAGCTGCAGACAAGATATATATGAAGTGAGGTCATCACTGTGCCTCATGACATTACCAGGATCACAGTGGATGTCCAAAATGTGAGCATGAATGTGCTCTTGTATGCCCTGGACCTTAGGGTAATAGGTTCTGCCAAAACCACTTCCTAGTTCTTCCTGTCTGCTCTGTTTTTTTTTTTCCTCATTGTTTGGTGGAAAAAATTCTACATTCATACCTGGGGAGGTTGGACTAGGAACTGTTTCCAAAAGTGGACATCTGGCATCAAGCTAGCTAATTCTCAGAATGTTCCTGGTGTACATGGAATGGTGGACCTTCGTGTTTGGACCCTTCTTTGCAGCACTGGTTGATGTGGAACAGTTAGGAGTCCAGGCCATCATTTATGAACTAGCTAGGCTATGTATCAACTAGCTAGAGCTATCATTGGTTATTAGTATTATGAAGGAACAAATGAGGGGAGAAAAGATAGGGTAGAACCACATAAACTTGAGTTTCTGAGGACTAGTTTTAAAAATAGCAATGAAATAGAAGCAAGGGAGGTAGATTTAATATTTAGGAGGTCAAATCTACTTGACATTGTTACTAATTCAGAGGAATGGGGTGGGGTAGGGAGGAATCTTGTGGGAAGGGAGATAATATTTCCTGTTCTCAAAGGATACAGTAATAGAGAGCAAAACTTGTTTCCAATATGGACCTTATATAAACTTGCATGAGTCTGTAAGTTCTTCTGTCTGTCAATCCAGTGCTCTTCCACTCTAAGGCAGTGCTTCAACGGTCAACTGGATTCCTTTAGGGAATCAGGACTATTTAGGAAATTAGTTCACTGAACATACAAAATATTTCAAAGTTTCATGCTGGAAAATTGAGGAATGAAATACTCTTGGTATGAAGTGTGATGAAACTTATAATCAACCCCTGTACCAGTTGTGAAATCTGAGAGCATAGAGATATGACTAACAATGTGAGGAGTGTCAGTCACATGACAGATGTTATAAGTTATGACAAATGATCTAGTAATGGCATAATAATTTAAGAAATCAACAAACAGAGTAGTAGACTAGATGGCATACTCCGTATTGAGTGCAGAAACAGGATGGGCTTTTTTAGAGATAAAGATGCTTCTTTTAAAAATAGCACATACTTTAATTCATTTGAAAGTGATTAAAAATAACATTATCAGTCATTTCCTAGAAAGCAGACTGGTTGAAATATGTGACATAATTTTATTAAATTCTCAAATCAACTCTTTGAGGCAGATATTGTTATCTCAGTTTACAGAGACTTTGCAAAGTTGAAAAATTTTGTTAAGTTTGTTTAGTTCCATAAGAATTAAAACTCAGGTTAGACTTACCATTATTTAAAACCAATCTACGTGATGAGTGATTAACTAAAAACTTTCTTTTCCCAAGTCTCTAGTTAACACAAGGAGTAACATTTTTCTTAAGACTAATACATTTTTTTTTTAAATCAGATGTCTAGGATATTCCGACGTTCTTCTGGAGGGGGTAGATTTATCAAATCTCATGTTATCAAAATAAGGTATGTAAATTTGGTTTGTAACTTCAAACCAGTACTGCTAAGATGAAATATTTAATCAACATGGTTTCTGAGCTGCTCTTAGCAATTCTGTGTAGAGACACAAAGATTTCAAGAAACTCAAGTTATGTGACCTAACCATTTCCCAACCACAATAGAAAGATGTAAAGTGTGCAATGACAAAAGAGTCTCTTACAAAAAAAAAAGAGAGAGAAAGAAAAAGATACACAAAGGGGAGCGACGGGACTATGAACACCAATGTGCCTCGTAAGCAAGGATCTAAATAGAACTTAAGTTTTTTAAAATTTTCCTTATTTACAGTTACACAACCATCAGACTATGACTTTCTGTGCAATAGGTTTTTCTTTAATGCCAGTGCATATTTGATATTATTTTAAATGTCTTTCTATTTTGATGTTTTTGTGAAAGGTAATATATTTAAATTAAACATGAATTATTATCAGAGACTAAATTTAATTACTAGAATCCCGTTTTTGTATGTTTGAAAGATTCTATACTGGGTTTCTATACTTAGATTCTATACTGTTTTGTTTTTGTTTTTGATGTGTGTGTGTGTGTGTGTGTATTTGTAAAATTTGTTTACTTGGTGGTGATAAAGTAAATACACATATGATTAAATGATTAAGGGCCTTATCCCTATTTTTCACTCTTGCCCTTCTTTCTTTTGTTTCTTTACTTTTCTTACCCTTCTCCTTTTCCTATCTCTCTTCCTTTCTTTGTTTCTTTTATCATATAAGTTAAATTCATTCTGAAAAAGGTTATTGGAGGTTTTCTAGTCCTACACATCACAATATGTATTATGTATTTGAATCATTGATCAAATTATCTCCCTTTACAAACTTCTTTCTCTAATTCTCCATCTATTAACTGGTCATGAAATGCCTAAATATCAGTGCTTTAATACAATACAATTTTATTTCACTTCCTGGTGAAGTCCAAAGAGGCAGAAATGGGGACAATGTGTGCCAGGCTCTGCTGGTGGTCATTGTGGGATGGAACTGCCCAAAGGACCTTCCACTTCCAATTGGCAGACCAAGGAAGAACAAGAGCATGGAAAATAATATGGGAGTTTTATAAATAGTCAGGCCTGGAAATGGGGGAATATTGCTTCTGCCCACATCCAATTGTCCAAAATTCATTAGATCATTTCAGTCAATTTCAAGAAGGGTTAGAAATGAAATCTAGCTCTGTGTTGAAGAAGCAGAGGACATTAGGTTTGTCTCTGCCACACCACTCTGAAGAATAATGACCTCAGTTACAAATTCTGCTCATAATTCTTTAAAAAGCAAGTCAAAGCATGATTTCATGAATATGTCTTCCCAAGAATCTCTCTAAACCCATTAGCTTTGGAAGGACGGAAGAAAAGATTTTTCAGAAATATCATTTACCTAATATTTCTAGCATGTTACCTTTCCTTCCAACACTTCCTGATCATTACACAGCCATTCTTATTCCCTTTATCTAGAAGTAATTTAAAAGCATTATCATATATCATCCATTATGTTTCTTTAAATTCAGTGATTCTGAATAGGTAATGTCACCATTTGTCTGCTGTTTTGTTCTTAGTCCAGATGAACAAGGTGTGAACATTCTTATGGTGCTCATGTTTCGATACCCATCTACTGACAGTACTGAAATAATCAGGAAAAAAATTGAAAGGAGTTTTTACCAAAGTCTGAAGATCAAACAATTGCCCCTGACCATAAATAAACCATCATTTACACTCACACGTAAGTCTTTTTCTTTAATTTCTTTCTTTTTGGAGGGGTACATTTTTGTAGTTCCCTTCAATCTCAATTTCCTTTATTTTTCAAAAGAATTTGGTCAATGTATTCTCTCATTTAAAGAATTCACTACTGATAAATATATCAATGTGGAATTAAAGTAAAATAAATATTCACTATGAAGGGAAATTTAGTGTTACTTTCTTTACATTTTACTAGGGTTTTTTGATAAAGTTTCTAATTTTTTCCCATATAATATGATACTTGGATCCTTACAAAAGCACCAAAGGGTAGCTACTATTTTCACTACTTATAGGTAAGGAAACTGAGAAGTTCTGAGACATAGGATAAGCAAACCTTGGGGCTAGAATTAGACATAGGTATTGTGAATCTGGGGGTTCATTTTTATAGTGTCAAAGAAACAGACATCTTTATCAAGGTGTGCCTGCCTAATAATAAGTGACATGAATTGTAAAGAGGTCCTGTATCTTGTTCCCGATTAAAACTATTTTTCACTTATTTTCTTATTGTTTTCACATACGTGCACACACATACAAATTTTAGGAAAGTTCTTTTTGTTTTTCCCCCAAAGTAGAAGAAAATTAAGTTTAGAAAGTTTAGGAAACTAAAATGAAAATCACCTTACATCTAGTTGAAATCCAAGTCAAGAGGCATTTTTATTTTCCTCTACAACATACAATTAGTAAATAAAATGGTGTATTTCAAATAATATTTTAAGTGTCAAGGACAGGAACTGTATTTTTATCTTCTTACCTCTGACTCCAATTGTAGCATACATCTCACATGAAATAGGTATTTCAGCTCTGTTCCTTATTTTACGTTATGTATTTCCAAGGTTAGTTATTTCAAATTTCATAAAAAATGTTTTATAAAAACATTTCATAAATGTTGAGATAGAATCTCTCCAGATATTAGGGATAATTTTTCTTGAAGTCATTAGAAATAATGAAGAGTATGGTATTCACCTTGATTGTTAATCAGCTATATTCCAAAATAAAATATAATTTTTTCTAACATTCTGTAAAGGGAGATCTCAAATTTAATCTCAACTCCTGATAACTGTTCTTAAGGCATAATCATATCTTCTAAAGCAAAATATCAATTTTAATAGTTTATTGAGTTTTTTAAATGTAGACTTTTTTATTTTACAATTATAAAAAGTAATTTTGGGCCTTGCTGGTCATGCACAGAGACTTTTTATTATACAGGTTGTTTTAATGCCAAAATAACTATATTCTATGATCATGCTCAATCATGCATATGGTTTCTTCTGCCATATACATATCATTCATTAAAAACATAGACATATCCAGGAAATCCCTAGAAGGGATTGGGGCTCACATCCCTCTGTGAGATGTTATGGCTCAGAACAGACTGCCTCAAAGTATGGTGCCTTGTCATACTGATTATTTTGAACCAAAGGAAATCAAAAGGGCCTGAGAAACAGAGTATGGTGGCATAGCCTCCTCCAAAGACTATTCAGCCTGAGACAGGAGGATCACAAGTTGGAGACCAATCTTAGCAACTTAACAAGACCTAATTTAACTTAGTGAGACCCTATCTCAAAATGAAAACTTTAAAAGGCCCGGGGATATAGTTCGGTAGTAAGGTGCTGCTGGGTTCCACCCCTGGTGCCATTGAGAGAGAGAGAGAGAGAGAGAGAGAGAGAAGAGAGAGATTTTTTTTAAAAAGGCTTTAGAAGTGAGATCTTTCTGAAGATCTTTCTGTCCTTCTCCATCCCTTCTTTCTTTTGCTGGCCTTTCTCCTCCATGGTAAGTCATAGAAGCTAGAACTCTTCTTTCCCCAAACTAATGGTAAAACCTAAAAATATTATTCTAACCTTCCCTTGCCCTTCTTTGTAGGAGTTGGCCATAAATAAATTCTCTGACCTATGATTTCTAACTATAGATCACAAAACCTTTTTTCCTGAGGGGCCTGCCCTACACCCAGGAAGAAGGAACTTCACCTAGAGAGGTTAAGAAGACTGAATTGTCAGGCCCTGCTGGGTCGGTCCCCTGCCCACCTTAATGCATTAGCATTAGTTCACACCCTTCAGTTCGGTACATTTCTACAGTACCTGACTGTTCATTCTTCATTAGACACAAGAATAAAAATAGATGGTTTTCCCTGGGTTTTTCAATCTGAAGACTCCAAGATACAAGCACTTTTTTTCCATAAATGCATATACTTTCTCCTGTTAATCTACCCTTGTCAATTCTATTTCAGGAACCCTATAAACCTTTAACCTATAAAGGTTAAAGAAACTTTTCACTTCTTACAAGGGAAAGTCATTTTCCTTGAGAAAAGCACAGTATAATTCTCCATTTTCTCTGACAAATAAAACAAAATAAATGGCCACTATACCAACACAAATCCAATGTAGCTGAGTTAAGAAGAATAGGAAAAAGTAACTCTGAAAGGAAAAATGTCTTGAAAGGAAAAGATGTCTTGAAAGAGAAGCATAAAGTATAGTGAGAGTTTGTGCATGGGTGGGTTCTTTGGACTGTTGTATGTGAAAGAGCTCATGACTTGAGTCACAAACTTACCTAGCACTCATCAGGAGGAACAATCCTCAATGAGAGAAGGTTATCAATTTACCTAGACTAAATCCCTACCTTTTGTTAGACCAGGGCCTTGAAATTGGGCCCCAAGGGATCTATGGTACCTTTTGCTTCTTAGAGATGCCCCCTGCACTCTGGTCATTGGGAAGTTGCTTTAAACCATATAAGTTTGGTAAACACTAACTACAATGGGACTCGAGGTTGTTTCTCTGACTTATACTGGGGCCTTCAAAGAAAGTAACCAGGCATATTCATTCCTATTCTTTCTTTCCTGATTTTCTGATTTCTTTTTCTGTTTCTGAAGCAAAACTAGAAAATAAAATGCTCTCTGATTTTATTTTTAAGTGAAATTTTACACTTTGAACCAAAGTAGAGTACAGGGTTATTTGTATATTATTTGGTTATAAAAACATCTTATACCTCTTGAAATATAGATGTCTCAGATAATTAACTTTTCAATTAATGATAATTTAACAATATAACGTGAAAATGCAAATATGTTATTCTTCCAACTAACTTGTGTTTTTGCTTCTTCCAGCTATTGACAGCAAAAAGATGAGGAATCTTCTCAATAGTCGTAAGTTTCAAAATCCACAATTAACTATTTATTTCACCGTAAAGATAATAAGAACCACAGAAAAATCAGAAGTATAATTTACTAAGATTTTTTTGCTCATTTATATTTTTATAAACCATGTATTCCTTTAATTATACTTTGCTATTTTAAGAATTAAGGTTATATTCATAACTTTATACTAAATGTAACTTGAACTTTTATGATCCATGGGATGAGTTAAAAATTACATAGTATTCCAGATATTATATTAATACATTCTTTAAATATTTCTCTTTTAATATTCTCTCACAACTCAAGAGAGTGTTTTAAACTGGTAATAAATTGAGACTTTGTTATTTTTTTTCAGTTTTCTTGCATTTTAATGGAATATCTGATATGCATATTTTCTGCCCCCTTCTCAGCCCTGCCCACCCCACCCATGAAAACTTTGGGTCTTTTGTGGACAAATTTTTGATACTCAGTAAATTATCTATTTATTGATAAAATACAAGTCAAAATGTCTGGGTAACGGTCAAAAGAACAGAAATCTTTTTCTGCACTTTAGAGCTGCCCCACTCACCTGTCTTGGTTAGAAAAGCCCAAGCCCATGGCAGAGTGCTTGTCCAGTCTGGCTGTGTTTTCCAGTTTCTGAATCTATTCTGCACTAAATTAAAACTGTCCTTTCTTGTAATTTAATCTCATTTATGATTTAGTTTACATTATCCATCTATATATGTTTCATAGAAAGATGGAAATCAATTCTTGGACTGAGTGCCTCCAAATGTTGGTAATATTTCTTCTGAGCCTCAATATAATTAGTAAGAGCTGTACAAAATATAAAATAACCTCAGAGGTTGAGTGCTGGGAATGGTTTAGAGGGCTGAGACAATGAATTTTCTAAGTATCTCCACACAATACAAATGTGTGTGTGTGAGTGTGTGTGTGTGTGTGTGTGTTTTTCCTCCTTTTTCCTTTTTCAACTAACATATATTTCTGTGTGACAGGCTGTGGAATAAGGATGACATCTTCAAACATGCCATTACCAGCATCGTCTTCTACAGAAAGGATTGTCCAAGGAAGAGAGACTGCTATGGAAGGGGAGTGGCCATGGCAGGCCAGCCTGCAGCTCATAGGGGCAGGCCATCAGTGTGGAGCCAGCCTCATCAGTAACACATGGCTGCTCACAGCTGCTCACTGTTTCCGGAGGTAAGTTCACCAGGCTGTTATGAACGTTATTTCCCCAGTCTTCTCTGGCCTTTGATTCAATGCATGGGAAGGGCCCAATCTCACTATTTTGTCCTCTGCTCTACTCAATATGTACCTGGCACTGTCCCATAAATGCATCATGCTTGCTCTATGTCCCATCCATGATGCTTGGTTTGAATTATTGGTAGTTCTTACCATGGATTCCCCTGTGTCATCATGATTCCGGTACTATCTTTCCTATGATATCAGATGATTTTAGTGCAAAGATTAAATATTATACATGTAACAAGTTTAATCTCTTCCATATACTCAAAGTCATCCATTTCTGTTCTGTCCTTTCCTCCCAATTAATTCCTCTAACTTCCCTCTGTTAATATTCAGTGTGACTTTAGAAATAATAAAAAATGATAATAAATATCCCTCTTGACACTCTCCATTCTCACTGCATTATCCAAGAAACCCTAGTGGGCTTGTATAATTTGGAGAGGTGGAAGTTGGGCAAGACCTGCTATTTTGTCACACTGCCCTCACAATAGCAAAGGCTGGTCATTTATAATCCAGCGGGAGCTATCTCCTTGGGCTTTCACAGTTGTAGCTCTCAAAATTTAGCTGTGTCAATTCTATACACAGACATACACAGGCACCCTATTACCCTGGGAGATAAGGGAAATAACCATCTTTTCATCCAGAAGTTTTATCCTCAGGGTACAGAAAATTTTCCTTTAAAGTCTCAAGATAGAAAGGTTCTGAATAAAGCCCCTTTGCCTGGCCTGAGCCACTATTTGTATACCCTTCTAGAGAATCCTATCCTTGGTGATCCAAGATTGTTTTCATTCTTCTAAGGGTAATAACCCAAATGATTCCAGGATATTTACACCATTTTTTATGTGGTAGACGTAATGCGAATGACCTAATGAATTTATGGTGATTGTCTGTCACTCCCTCACTGAGAAGAGACTCACTTATACATATTTATGAGACCCAAAAATAACTAGCAACATGCCTTAGAGGTGAACTTGAATCTCCCTCACTTGTTAAGGCTTTCTGATTTACTCATGTTCTCATAGCCTACTAATCTTTGTGCTTCTCTTTTTGTGAAAGTGTTATCCTCTTTAGTTTATAGTGGATTTCTTTTAAAGTAAACTAAAAAAATAAAACAAAAAAACAAACAAACAAAAATCAGAATTATGGCTTTACAGAATGAATCTTTAAATAATGAAGAATATAAGCTGTAATGATTGAAATACTTGCTTCAGTAGGTCTCTGTATGCTGACAGACATACATGGCAATTGGCTATTGAGCTTGATAAAGTAAAGATTACTGGTGACTTTGAAGAGAGATATTTGGTAGTGTAATTGGAATGGGAAAGGATTCAAGAAAAAATGGATGGAAGATAGGGTGCAGTATGTTTAAAGACCACTTTTAGGAATTTTTTTAATGAGAAATATGAAGTTGATGGTAGTTGTGATGAAAATGATGATATTTTTAAATATGGAAGACAAAATTATAGTATAGTTTACACAGATAATAATACGCCAAAAAAATTAAAAGGTAAGATTTGTTGTGCTTAACTTTATTTTTTAAATTTTTTGTAGGAATAAGGACCCAAGTCAATGGATTGTGACTTTTGGTACAACTATAACACCACCTGCTGTGATACGAAGTGTGGGGAAAATTATCCTCCATGAAAATTACCATAGAGAAACGAATGAAAATGACATTGCTTTGGCTCAGCTCACAACTCGAGTTGAATTTTCAAATGTAGTCCAGAGAGTATGCCTCCCAGATTCATCTATGAAGTTGCCACCTAAAACCAGTGTTTTTGTCACAGGATTTGGTTCCATTGTAGATGATGGTGAGTGGTTTCAATCTAATTTTATGCAGCTATGTCCTGGTATCAATGAATTTCCTTGGTCTGAGTTTCCTTATACCAAAAATATACCAGTTGGACAAGACTGATGTGATCCATCGCTATGAGAATCTCATGAAAACTGTAGAAACTCCCCTCATTAAAATATACATGTGTAAAATTTGCATATATTTTAATATTTTCTATAATATACAAATATGTAAAATATATAATATTTTGCACACAGTTTTAAGGGTGCCCTGAAAGATCCACCAATATGATACAAAATTGGGTTGTGATTATTATTTTTCTTTGTGTGCACTTACTATATAGAACATAAACTTAAGGAATAACTGAAGTTAAAAAAATATCCTTGTGATTTTGCTCCTAGAAATATATAACAATGCAGTCTCTCATGTCTTGTATATGATATTAGAAATACACATTGTTTGTTTGTTTGTGTAACAGGACCTACACAAAATAAACTTCGTCAAGCCAGGGTGGAAACCATAGGTACTGATGTATGTAACAGAAAGGATGTGTATGATGGCCTGGTAACTCCAGGGATGTTGTGTGCTGGATTCATGGAAGGGAAAGTGGATGCGTGTAAGGTAAGGCTAAAGTCAAGGCCAAAACTTTAAAGGAAAAGTTTTCATTATATATTTTTAACTCTGGCATATATTTTACCTGGAAGGAAAAAAATGGCATCTACTTCACTAAGAGCTAAGTTTATCTAATATACAAATATTATTGTATTATGTTTAGTGTGTGCTAAGGCAAAAACAAAGAACTTGCTGGGGGCTGGGGATGTGGCTCAAGCGATAGCGTGCTTGCCTGGAATGCGTGGGGCTCTAGGTTTGATCCTCAGCACTACATAAAAAAATAATAATAAAATAAAGATGTTGTGTCCACCGAAAACTAAAAAAAAAAATATTAAAAAATAGAATTTGCTGCATGTTATTTCATTTAATATAATGAAACATAAGCAGTACTATAATTATTCCTATCTAACAAATTAGGAAATTAAAGGCTTGCTCCATATTTCTGTTCACACAATTACTTTTATGATCTATTGTTGCTTTCTCAAAGTCATAAACAAAAGACAAGGAAACCTCTTCTCTGAAGGGCACATCACTCATGTCTTCATAACCTGTCAAATATGTTATCATCCCCCAACATCTAAAACACTCCACTCCCCTTTGTCCCTCTTACACACTGTAAACTTTGTCGTCTAAAACATCTTTCCTCTCAACCTCAAACTCTGCAGTATCAATACTGACCCATTTAAATGGTGGACTCTTAGTTCCTACATTTCCTTTCTGGTGATTGAGGCTTTTCCTCAGTCACCTTAGATCCTATTCTTTTTTTTTTTTTTTTTTAGGGATTTAAATCTTCTTGTTTTAATTAGTTACATATGACAGTAGAATGCATTTGTGCACTTCAATATATCATACATAGAAGGGATATAATTTCTCATTTTTCTGAGTGTACATGTTGCAGAATCATATTGGTCATGTAGTCACATATATACATAAAGTAATAATGTCTGTTTCATTCCTATCCCCACATCCCCTCCCCTTCCCTCCATCACTACCTAATCTAAGGTAACACTATTCTTCCCTAGTGCCCCCTGCCTTATTATGAATTAGCATCCACATATTAGAGAAAACATTCAGCCTTTGGTTTTATGGGACTGTCTTATTTCAAACTTAGCATGATATTCTCCAACTCCAACCGTACTGGCAAATGCCATAATTTCTTTCTTCTTTAAATCTGAGTAATATTCCATTGAGTATATATACCACATTTTTTTATCCATTCATCTATTGAGGAACACCTAGGCTTGTTTCATAGTCTAGCTATTGTGAAGTGGGCTGCTATAAACATTGACATGGCTATGTCAATATGGGTATTTTAAGTCCTTTGGGTATAAACCAAGTAATGGGATAGCTGGGTCAAATGGTGGTTCCATTCCCAATTTTCTGAGGAATCTCCATACTGCTTTCCATAGTGGTTGCACCAATTTACAGTTCCACCAGCAACATATGGGTGTACCTTTTCCCCCACATCCTTGCCAACATTTATTGTTGTCTGTATTCTTGATGATTGCCATTCAGACAGGGATGAGATGCAATCTTAGAATAGTTTTGATTTGCATTTTTCTAATTGCTAGAGATGTTGAACACTTTTTCATATATTTGTTGATCAGTTGTATTTCTTCTTCTGCGAAGTGTCTGTTCAGTTCCTTAGCCCATTTATTGATTGGGTTATTTGTTGTTGTTATTTATTTATTTATTTATTTATTTATTTATTTATTTTGGTGTTAAGTTTTTTGAGTTCTTTATGTATCCTAGAAATTAATGCTTTATTGGAGGTGCATGTGGTAAAGATTTTCTCCCAATATGTAGGTTCTTTTCTCACGTTATTAATTGTTTCCTTTGCTGAGAAAAAGCTTTTTAATTTGAATCCATCCCATTTATTGATTCTTGATTTTACTTCTTGTGTTTTAGGAGTCTTGTTAAGGAAGTCAGATCCTAGGCCAATGTGGTAAAGATTTGTGCCTATTTTTTCTTCTCTTAGGCACAGGGTCTCTGTTCTAGTGCCTAAGTCTTTGATCCACTTTGAGTTGATTTTTATGTAGGGTGAGAGATAGGGTTTAATTTCATTTTGCTACATATGGATTTCCAGTTTTGCTAGCACCATTTGTTGAATAGGCTATTTTTTCTCCATGAATGCTTTGGGCACCCTTATCTAATATGAGATAACCATATTTATGTGGGTTTGTTTCTGTATCCTCTATTCTGTACCATTGGTCAACGAGTCTATTTTGGTACCAATACCATGCTGTTTTTGTTATGATAGCTCTGTAGTATAGTTTAAGTTCTGGTATCCTGATGCTGCCTGCTTCACTTTTCTTGCTAAGGATTGTTTTATCTATTCTGGGTCTCTTATTTTTCCAAAGAGATTTCATGACTGCTTTTTCTAGTTCTATAAAGAATGTCATTGGGGTTTTAATATGAATTGCTTTAAATCTATACAATGCTTTTGGTAGTATGGCCATTTTGACAATAATAATTTTGCCTATCCAGGAGCATGAAAGATATTTCCATCTTCTGAGGTTTTCTTCAATTTATTTCTTTAGGGTTCTGTAGTTTTCATTATAGAGGTCTTTCATTTCTTTTGTTAGCTTGATTCCCAGGTGTTGTCTTTTTTTTTTTTGAGAATATTGTGAATTATATATCTGGCCTTGTTATCATAAACACTTTCATCTTCAAAGGCACAAATTCCCATCTTCTATTTGACTAGCAACCCTGTATTTCCCCTCTGCCCACTATCTTTCAGTTGTTCCTGGTTCCTTATATATAATCTGGAGGGAAGAGCTACCTCTTCCATGCTTTTTTGGTGTTCTTTGGCAATGGCAGTTCACTATTTATTCTCACCTGGACTTCTTTTGGGGCCAGCTGTTAGTGATTCCATCCAACTCGTATTGTGTTCACTAATTGTAATGGGATGTTACCTATGCTCTGTGGTCAAGTAGAACTGCTAGCTGTGCTCTGTTGTCTAGTGAGACCATTGGCTGGAATCTGTATTAAAGCTGAACTATTATTTGGACTCTGTAATTGCTCTATTTGGGCAGTGTTATAGGTTGACTTTCCCGGCTAACCTGTTCTGCAGTTGGATATCTATAGTTGGGCAGGGCCATGTTCTTGGCTCAGAGGCTGGGAAAGAGCTCTGAGATTATTACTAAATCTTGTGAGCATAGGTGAAGAAAAGCCAGAGGCTATGTTACACAGATATATATGAACATGGGGTTGTCTCCTGTCCTACTGTAGACTTAAGCAGAGTACCAAGGCTTGGTAGCATAGCATTTCAGATGATAGGCTTGGGCAAAGTCAGATGCTTTCCTCAGCAGACATTTGCTGACCTGGTCTTGACTTCTGCCTTGGCAAGGACTTTTGGAGACATTCAGGGTTTGGATGTGTTAATGCTTAGCAGTTGGATATGGGTGGGGTCAAATGTTCACTCAGTAGATATTCACCAACATATTTCTGCCTTAAAGTTGGTGGAAGAGTTAAGGAGAGCACCAGAACACTGGCTGGGGAATCTAGCCAGGGTCTCAAGTCTGGGAGACCCATTTACCATGTTTCCTGCAGCTTGATGCTATTGGCTATGCTCTGGTAGTGGTGGTATGCCCCCCACCCCACCCTATGGCCAGAATACTGAGTCACCAAGATTAGCCCTCTGGTCACTGTGAGCACCACCCAAGTCCTTTTGTTTCTAACTTACCTCAGTTAGTCTAGCTTTGCTGATACTTCCAAAGTTCCAATGGGGTGGGACATGAGAGGGTCTCTTATGTTGGTACCCAGAATAGTGGGGAAGCAAATGCCTGTTTCCACCTCTTTCCTCCCACTACAAAAACAGGGTCCCATAGAATCCCCTGTGTGTGGTGCTATGCTGGCTTTCAGGAGGGCCAACATGGCCAAAATGGAACTGCTCCTGTTATACTTCTTTTATTGCTGTCCTCAGTTCTGTGGTCCAAAAGGGTGTTTCAGTCTTATTCTCAAACTCTTGATATTCATGAGAAAATTCTCATGTAGATAGTTGCTGGTGGAATTTCTGAGGGATGGGGAGTTGAGCAGGAAAATTCTTATTCCATCTTGCTGACATCACTCCTACCTCTTATTTAAAAAAACAAAAACAAAAAACTTGTGCGTATACTCCAAGTTTATTGTTGCTCTTTCTCTGTGTGTGTGTGTGTGTGTGTGTGTGTGTGTGTGCGTGTGTCTGTCTGTCTGTCTGTTTGTGTATCTGTCTTCTTTCTCTCTGTGTTTCTTGACTTTCACCCAAGCAGTTAATTGCTCCTGAAAAAAAATAAATAACCTCACAGAGAACCTTAGTTTCACTAGAGATTCCAGATAACAAAGCTGATGGTTCTGTTCTGTTTCATGTTTGTTGTTGTCTGCTTTCTTGTTTTGTCCCCCCCACCACCACCCGATCTACCATTGTCTGAAATTTAATTAATTTCCACTTTTTCCTACCCCTTACTTTCAGCAAATGGCTGTTTTCCAATTTTTGAAGAAACCATAAGAGGGGAATTTCCCCCATTCCCAGAACCAAGCATGCAGTCCTTTCTTTGCTTGGACGCACTGCTTCCACTTTCAGCTTAGATCTCAACAGAGTAGCTATCTCTTCTCTAAAGTTCTCTGCTTATGTTCTCACTGGCCATTTGGGGAAGATTACACTAGCAATTACTTCCTTTTTATGTTTATAATCAATGCTTATCTTACACTAGATCCTTCTTTACTCAGATGCTTTAAAGTAGGGGGGGAAATCTCTTTCTTGACTGAGATGCTTCCAGATAGCATCCTGTCTTGTTACTTTATTTGGGGAGAAATATTTGGGAAAAATTTGACACTAATTTTCTTCACACCAAATAATTTTTTAAACTATTTCTATATGATTTTTGCCTTTGTACATCAGCAAAGTAGCTCTTTCTAAACTTTCCAATGACACCAATGGCATTCATGTTTTTAAAATATTTGTGATCCTATTCTTTCTGGGTTTAGTAGCAATATTTTATGATGTTCATCACTCCCTTTTCTTCGAACAGTGTCTTCCCTGATTTGTAATTATTTTCAGCCCAGCTTTCCTATTCCATATCCAGTTGATGATCTAATCCCATGCATTTTACCTTCTTCAATATATCTCCATCACTGTCTTCCATGGTCTTCCTCCCCTCTTTCTGCCTTCCTTCCTCTATCCTCAGTAGACGCTATCAGCCATCCTGTTAATTACCCAATTTTTATTCTTAAGCTCCTCAGTGCATTAATCAAATGAAAGCCAGCTTGATTTCTAACAAGATGCAAATTTGGTCATGTCAAACCCCTCCTTAAAATACTTCAGTGGCTTTCTTTTTTATCTTAAAATACAAAACAAAACAAAGAAACACGCCTACACAAGACCCATAGGGCTATGCATGGACTCATCACCCCCTATCTCATCACATAAAACTGGCCTGCCTTGTTCTCTTTCCACACCCCACCCCAGCTACATGTAGGCCCTTGAACATTCCAGGATTCTTTATGCACAGAATATTTGCAATACTGTTCTCTCTGCCTGGAACGCATTTCATCTCCATTTTCTTTTTCATGGTCAACCTCACTTCCTTCAGAAATCAGCTCAGTTACGCTTCATGGGGGGAAAACTTTCCTTTCTCGCCCATCAGTCACATTCCCCTATTGTAATATTTCCAAAGCACATATCACAGTTTTAATTTTGCATTTTTGTTAACACTGTATTCCAAACATCCCTAAAAATTGCTGCGACACATAATAGGAAATCAATAAACAGTTGAGAAAAGAATAAATTAAAGAGTAAGTGGCAAAGGCTCAGAAAGGTAAAGTATTTTACCCAAGATTACATAGTCAGTAATTAATGGAACTAGACCTAAAACTCAGGCAGTACAACTACTAAGTTCATACTTTTAACCTCTATGTGTATATTTGTTTATTTATTTAATTTACCCTGTTCCAAACAGATTTAAAGGAACATCTGTAAGATTCAACAAGAAAACATGAATAAGAAAGAGTTCACTAAAAGAAAAGGAGACCAAGAATAGGTCTAATAAAGTAGTCAAGCTAACAATATTCAAGAGAAATCATTGAAATTTTCAATCACAAATAATAATTTTACATTTAGCATTTTTATGAACAAAATGTTACTAAATCAAACTAATCCAAAAAAAAAACTCCAGGGGTTGGGGTTGTGACTCAGCAGTAGAGCACTTACCTAGCATGTGCAGGGCACTGGGTTCAATCCTTAGCACCACATTAAAAAATAAAATAAAGGTATTGTGTCCAATACAACTAAAACAAAATATTTTTTTTAAAAAATCCAAAGATTATGGACCAGACATAATGTAACCATTCCATGTAAATTAGTTACATTCCATGTAAAATTTTAGCACAAAATTGAAAGAAACATTGAATAGTCTATGTATAGTCTGGCTGTGTGTTTTATGTACCAAATTTTGTTTTATTTCCCCTGTGGAAAAGAGATGATTACAATAATCATTCTACGACTTAAATTAGAATTAACAATTTCAAATATGTATTTGCTTTTATTCCAGGGAGATTCTGGTGGACCTCTGGTTTATGATAATCGTGACATCTGGTACATTGTTGGTATAGTAAGTTGGGGACAATCATGTGCTCTTCCCAAAAAACCTGGTGTCTACACAAGAGTGACTAAGTATCGAGACTGGATTGCCTCAAAGACTGGTATCTAGCATGGATGGTCCATGAGTTACACTGACGGCAAGTAGAACTGAAACATCTACATCTTTTATATTATCATTTAGACCCATGTGGTTTGAATCAGTGCTTTTGCTACATGGCGAGAAACTCTTGAGACCTGAACCAATCTAATATTCTGAGGTGGATCTTGTGAATTTTTGAACAAACTCTACCTCAAGGGAAGAAGACAACACACATGACAGTTAGCACTGATTCCTCACTCACCTGGGAAACTGTGATAGTTCTTAATGTGATAAATACTTACAAGTGGTGTAATTCCTTGATGGAAGATGGGGATCATCATTTTTCACAGGATATGAAGTGCTGCCAGGCTGTCACAATCTTACCTTACTAACACCTGAAGCATCAGGGATTCTTCTAGCAAAAAGTCAAACAGCAGTCTTTCCTGAAGATTCAGAGCTTCAAGATTCTACACTGGACATTTCATAGCTGGAATGAGGAGCATGGGATCTGCAATATAACTTGAACTTTAACCTGGGTTTATATATAGCAGTACAGAGCATTATCATGTATCTGAACTTGCCATTAATACTGCATTAGGCACTCAAGGACTAGCTTCCAGAAGCATGTTGTGTTGTTAAGAAGCATTTCTTATTTATTCTTCAATGATATCTTGCCATCTATACAGAGTCAGAGTCAGCCCCAAATGAAGAAGACTCTTGGGAACAATTTTCCATGAGTACAAGGAAGATATAAAGAAGGGGACAAAGATTAGCAGAGTTGGTTTTGAATGATTATTTGTGGAAAAAAACACTCTAAATATTTGATGGAATGAGCCATCCACTTATTTGTTTAGTGATATCTACATCAGCATATGATATCTGGTGCTTTTTTAAGTCAGCAGCTCAGCTTTCCAACAGATCAGATGTGTATCAGAACGTAGGCTGTAGAACTAATTTGTATGAAGTACTTTGGACAGTGCCTGGCATACACTAAATAAAGGGAAACAAATGCCTCAGCAAGCTTTAGATAAACGAATTCAAATTTGTCAAATAACTGAATAACCTTAGGGCTTAAATATAGCTCAAAGCCTAGTGATGGGTATAATCATACAGAGCACAGACTCTTTGAAACAGGGCTGCCAGAGTTTGAACCTTGTCTCTGCCACATTTGAACTATTTCCTTCAGCAAATTACTTAACATCTCTATTCATTAGCTCTTTCATCTCTAATTGGGACTGAAAAAAAGGTACTACCTCATATGGCTGTTATGAGGACTAAATGCATTAACTTAAGTAGAACACTTGCATCGGAGTCTGCAAACAGTAAGCTCTCAAAATGGATGATTACTGTTAATCATTATTAATATGCTTTGGCCCTAATAAAACTTACTATACTTTTTAAAAATTGCCCTTTGCTTCTTTAAAGTGATGCAATCAATTTCAAATTACTTTAAATTACATTATAAAAACATTAGGTGAAGTACTATGCTAGATTACCAAAATTACTTTTATATTCCTTAATTTATTTCAAACTATGTCTACTTATAGATAAACACTCAGGATGACCATCTGGGGCCATGGTTGTGGCTACAGAAGTGCATCTGTATTCATTACCACTTCAAATGTGAGACAAGATTTTTTGCTCTTATTTATCAGAGAAAAACTTGGCCCATCCAGTTCTTTAATGATCAAAAGTTTTGTTTTATTTTGTTAGTTTGTATGTATATGTACTTTTCTGTAATGTGTAAATAAGATAAACATAACTAAAGAAAATCTCCTAGTTATTGTTTGTAAGACCATAAGCACAGAGGGTTCATGCATACATGCACACTTCATTTTTTAAAAGGAAAGTTATCAACTTTCTGATATGATGACTAGTAACAAGTAAATATTATCAGAATAACCAGAGTAAAAACTTAAATTCTCATACTTCCTTAATTCTAAGTTCCTATACTCTGCAAATAGCACAAAAACATCTAAAGCTTTCAAAAGAACATTTGGCATAATAAAGATGTGCTTGATTGATCTTAGACATTTTTTATATTAAAGGTAAACACCTCTTCTGGTACATAGAAGAAAGCAAACCTGCCTCAAAAAAACAAATTGCTTTCTTCCATGTAAGTTCTGAAATAATGGATGTGTAACATTGTGCAATTTTTTTTTTTATATTTCACAAGACTGTGATAACTTTTGTGCATATATATCTGTGAAACTGTATACTTATTTAAATATTTCTATGCTTAATTAAAATCAATTTGATGACATTCACAAATGAGGAGAATAAATACAAAAGATCATATAGAAAGCTGAGCAATGGAAAAATGGAATTTTTAAAGGAGGATTTATGTGTCATCTTTCGAGTTTGGTATTTGACCTACTGAATGGTGTTATAGGAATTATGCAGTGTCTTTTACCTCATGTTTTCCTTCTGCCAAATGGGACATTAAGCTATCTACCTCATGGCATTGTTGTGAGGCTTTCCTGCTGAGTGATAAAGATGAAAGTCAAAGAATATTTAAGACTTGCTTAAAAATACAAAGTATATTATTGTAAACTGATATCAATACAGCTGATGCTGAAAATGCATTAAGATTATAAATAAGTTTGATTTTTTTTACGGTGTTGGCATTTTAATGCTTTGTGAATTTCGCAAATATATTTGTGGTTAAAAACAAACAAACAAACAAAACATTAAAGTTTGCCTCCTGTGTGGTGATGTTATATTAACATTCACATTTTCTCATAGAAAAAAGCCTGCAATTTGTCAAACTCATTTTAAAAGACAGATCAAAACTATGATCTGACAGTAAATAATGCAAAATCTACTCCCTAAAAATCTTCACAGAATTTTGTGCAGCATGGGTACTAAAGAGTTAGTTTACATTTTAAAACCTAGAAGAAGCTAGTTTATAACCTAGAAGCTAGAAGCTAGAAGATTGAACCAAAATTTTTGCTAATGGTTAACTATCTCTCAGTGACATTTTCACAACTCAACAGTAACAACAAAAAATATATTAATGGGAATCTGCCCTTTTAACTGAACAAATTTGTTAATGTTTTTATTTGTTTGTTAATCTATTTGTTTGATAGAGAATGTGTGGGAGACATTTGTTCATGCAATTGTGGAAATAAAAAATAAACTCATCATAAATGATTGAAATTAATGCTGAACTCATAGCTTCTAGTACTGGGAGAAACTTAAGTGATTATTTACATCAACCTCCTATTTTGAGTAGTGTGATGTCAAGACCAAGTGAATTTCTTCAAGGTTGTACAGTAGGCTATTGCCAGTGTAGGAACAAAATCTTGAAGTTCTTGTTATCCATTCCTATCTTCTCCCAAATGTTATAACCTGAGTTGTGCAGGCTCAGTAGGCAGGGACATTGTGATCCTAGAAGTCACTGAAATTAATGAACACTGCCAAACCATTCCTTCTTTACTTCCCCAGTACCCCCACCACCCCCGCTCCGCCAAAAAAAAAAAAAAAAAAAAGGTGAGATAAGCTAAATGTGCCAAAGTACATTAGGGATCAATCCACAAGTCTTATACTTTAGATAACAACCTACTTTTTATACCTATACCTAAGGAAATGAAGGATGTTATGTGTAGGCAATACTGCCCAGCTAATTAAATTGGAAAGTTATAATACTCCATGGAAAATTTATCCTCCAAATTCATACCTCAGTCATTCCTTTTCTCATTGTCTACACTAAGCTTTATAATTATGAAGTAATGTAAAACCTTTATATGCTACAAATAAAAAAAACATTATATTTTAAAATGAAGAGCAGTAAAAATTTGAAGTTTTTAAAAATGACAAATGTAAATTGCTCATGTTCTTTGTAATGATTCATTAGAAAATCTGTTTTACCAAGAAAACTATAGAAACCCAAAATATGTAGAAAAATTTTTAAAAGTTTTAACTAAGCTGCTTTCATAAATGCTTAAAATGAACATTCTTTTATAGGTTTTGATATTTTCCTTGCCTTAAAGTTAAGTCATCTGATTTTTGACAAAGGTACCAAAAATGCATGCTGGAAAAAAGTTGGCCTTTTGACAAATAGTGCTGGGAAAACAGGATATCCACATGTATGAGACTGAAACTAGATCCCTATTTCTAACTCTGTACTGAAGTCAACTAAAAATGGATCAAAGACTTAGGTATAAGACCAGAAATAGCGCACCCCCTAGAAAAAAATCATAGGGGGGAAACTCCAACATAGAGGCAGAGGCAATGACTTCCTAAATAGGACTCCTTTAGTTCAGGAAACAAAACCAAGAATTGATAAATGGGATAGTATCTAATTTAAAACCTTCTTCACAGCAAAGGAAATAATTGTGAAGAGATCTTTGCCAGCTCCTCTTCTGACAAAACATTAATATTCAGAATATGGAAAGAACCAAAAAGAAAAAAAAAACATGTAAAACTAATTAAAACATCAAAAAGCCATATAAACTAATTAAAACAAATTTTTAAAAAATTTTAAAAATACCAAATAACCCATTTGATAAATGATTGTGTGAACCATGCAGACACTGCTCTAAAAAAATGAAAATGGCCAACAATTATATGAAAAAATATGTTCAATATCTTCAGCATTAGGGAAATGAAGTAAAAAACCACATTGAGATTCTATCTCACTACAGAATGGCAATCATGCAAGGAAACATCAAACTCTCATACACTGTGAAAATGTAAATTAATACAACCACTATGGAAGTTAGTACAGAGTTTCCTCAAAAAAACTAGAAATGGAACTACCATATGATCCAGCTATAAGCACTCCTTGGTATTTATTCAAAAGTATTAAAGTCTGTATATTTTAGAGACACATGCAAACCAATGTTTATAGCAGGACAATTCAGAATAACCACATTATGGAATCAGTTTAGGTATCCATCAACAGCTGAATGCATAAAGAAAATGCGGCATAATCACAAGGGAGAACAAATGAAATAATGCCATTTGTAGGAAAATAAATGAAAATGGAGAGAATAATATTAAACAAAATAAGCCAGACTCAAAAAATTAAGTGTATGTTTTCTTTCACATGTGGAAGCTAGACGGAATAAAAGAAAACAGGAATGTCATGAAAATAGAAAGGAAACCGTGAAGTAGATTAAGTGGATAAAAAATAGCGAGATTAGGAGAGAGGGGAGGTATTTGGGAGTAAACTAATCAAATTATATGCAGGTATGACTATGCCACAATGACACAAACTATTCTGTATAATTATCATGCACCAATAAAACAAATGAAAAGAAAAATCAGAATTCAGATGGGTTTAAAAAATTTTTAACTACAAAAAATAAGAAATGTGGAACATATAGTTATATCACAAAATTTAAAAGGAGTAATATACTATTGCTCCCAACTATCTTCAAGCTGTCAAATAGAACATCATTATGGGACCTCATGATGTTGTGAGGATTTTTTGTTGAATCATAAAGTGCAAAACTCAGAGAATGTTTAATGCCTACTCAAAAATGCTAATATGCTATTATGAACTGATAATTAGCACAAGTGCTACTGCACCTGTATTAATATTGTAAAGAAGTTTTTATACAATATTTCTATTAATAGCATGGTTTTGTGTATTCACAAATACTGCATTTTTGAAATTATATTTAACATTTTTATGAGAAATATATTATAGCGTATATATTATAATAATATATGGTGGTTGATATTTGTTGAAAAAAAACAAGTCAAATGAAATTGTTAACTTGATAGCTTTAAGAATTAAGAATAAATATAATTAAGAATAAATATAATCCAACTTCATTTTACTTAAAGCATATTTTACTATATCATATCCATAGTTGATCTACTTGGAACATTTTTGGTCTATTATGTATCTGACAGTGGAAAATTCCAAAAGCATTCTGGAGTCAGCAAAGTAATATTTTAGTCTATACTGAGAGTATTGAAGATTCATTAACTGAAATCACAGATCCATGAAAATAATGAATATGTTAACCAGATATCATAGCTTCCCTGTTAAGTTCTATTTTTATACATTTTGTTCTACTGTCAATATCTGTGTTCCCCATTGTTATTTAAAAATGCAGTCTTGAAGATAAGGAGATTATTCCATTTGATTGCTTTCTCTTCCCATCCCCAAACCCAGGTAGTTTCCATTGAAGATATTTAGATGCCTCCTTCTAAATATTTCTAGGAGAAATTTCATAAACATGTGGAATTGCCAACTTAATGATTTTAATAACAATCTTTAATCTGTATTCCAAATAAGTAACTTTTGTAAAACTTCAAACATTTATCTTTCTTTTTAGGTCTAAGTGGAGATTGCTGAATCTTGGAATATTTTTTTTTAATCCACCAGTATTTTGCCCTACAAATGTTAATGCTTAAGGAAAAAGGGTTAGAAGTTTGAATGAACAGCAGAGATACATTTGAGAAAAAAGGGAAATTTAAAAGTGAAGAGAAGAAATAAACAGAATTTCAGAATAAAAAAAGAAGCTATTGGGAAGAAAAATGCTCAGTCCCAGTATTGTGATGAAATATTTTATAGAAAAAAAACAAATGGGTTTCACAATAAATATTATTTTTTAAGAAGTTAAGGACAGCAATTATTTGTTTATCACTTTTAAAAAAATAGTGTTATAACAAATATTAGTTGGGGGACAGAGAGCACACAATTGTATCAACTTAATACTATTTTTAGTTTTTATTTTCTAACCCTCACATATAGCATACATATTTTACAAATTGATATAATAGCATGTTGTCTTCATTGCCTATTATTCAAATGTCCCTATATATTCAACCTCTTTACAGATGCTCCCTCATTATCTTACTAAATTTTGGACGTCACTTTCTAAAACATTACTTTGTTTTAGCTCTCAAGTGATTTTTCTTTCTTCCTGGATTGAATACAAAATCAGAATTCTTCTAAGTCCCAATAAAAACTTCCAAATACTTATGTAATGTTCTAAATTTTTTTTTCTGTATAACGGTATAAAAATATATTTCTTTGAGGCTCATGCCTCAAGCCATACCACATATTGTCCCTCCATATTATTTCCAATCTCTAGATCACTACTGACATTTAAGGCACTAGGCATCTGGCTCAAAATATATCTCTATACCCAACTCCCATCTTCATTGTGGTAAATTTCAACTTCCTATTGGATGGCCCACACTTACCCCTAATTCTTTGAGTTTATATATCCAAATGAAGTTAATTTCTATTCTGCTCTAGAAATCTAATTTTCTAATTTACTAAATTTCCTAGGTCCCCACATTCTCATAGTATGTTTACCTCCTAAAAGCCACACTCCCCTGAATGTAAACTTGTTGGACTTCATTGCATGTAGTATAAACAGCTTAGCCATAATTATCATTTTCCAGTTCCCTGATCCTTAGTTTGCAGCCTTCCAATCCAGCAAACTCCCAGTCCTATCAATCCCAGAACTCAGTGGCTCTTTTATGCCTGAAATTAGTGAACAGACTTAAAAAAAATTCATTCATTCAACCGTATGTATTAATACCAGTTATAAATTTGGAAATTTATAATACCTGTTATAAATTTAAATAAGCTAATTTAAATTAGCTGTTGGTAAAATGGTAAGATGGCACCTGACAATTCTTTACATTTTCTTTTGAAAACACATGCTTCCATTCTTCTCTTACTACAACTATTGCTCCAAGAAGTCAACATTTCCCCACCATCAGTACTCAGCCCAGGCTTTCCCTCCTCTCTTTGGTTCTAATTATGTTGAGGGGGAAAAAAAAGGAGGACAAAAGAGATTTTCCAAAACTTCCTTGGTCTCACTTTTGCACTAATAAATGTTTGTATTTTTTTTGCTCCTTCCTTTCTGTATCACCAAAGTGTTTTTTCTCAGTTAACCAGAATCTCCATTTTACTATTACCTCTTTCTGTTCTGGCTTAGATCTTGGTTCATTGTTTGCCCCTCTCTCCAGGGTTTTCATCCTCTCTTTTCATCTCCAAATTCCATCTAAAAAAGCCATAAACAATAGTAAAAGCTAGAGAGGAGGTGGGGGGGGGGAAACACTTTTACACTGATGGTGGAATGTAAATTAGTATGACAACATGGAGATCAGTATGGAAGTTCACAAAAAAAAGTGAGGAATGGAACCACTATGTGACCTAGCTATACCATGCCTCAGTATTTATTCCAAAGAAAAGTCAGCATACTACAATGATAGGTGCATACCCATGTTTATAGTTGCAAAATTCACAATATCCCAGTGATAGAAACAAGCCAGGTGTTTCTTAATAGATGAATAGAGAAAAAAATGGTATATATACATAATGGAGTTTTATTAAAAAATGAAGAATAAAATTATATCCTTCAAAGGAATAAGGATAGAACAGAAGAACATTATGCTAAGTGAGATAAGCCAG